CCTTCAAAAGAAGTGCACAGATATTGACTCCAACGGGACAGTCCGTACTCTCCGCGGAAATCGCATGAGAATATCGAACCTCATTCAAAACATATGACTGTGGTTATGTCCGAACGTCCTTGTTTCAGTGTTGCTGTATTTAATCCAAAGCTTCCGCCTTACTAGGGAGCGAAAAAGCCAGTATAAGGTCAAGCTAGAGAAGATACGGAGATGATTCTAACGTTGGGTGTTCGGTTTTCGCTCTCAGACTTAAGTATGGTTCTAATTTCAAAAACTTGCTACCACAGGTTGCCGCATGTATAGACGCGGCATAGGAAATTAATCGGGGTCGCTAGAACGAGCACAATAACTAATTAAACAGTTAACGATTGCTGAAGTTGGGTAATGCTAAAACACGTCCCTGTTTTCAACAAAAAAATCCAAGAATAGCAAATTTGCCACAAAATATAGAATTGGTGTTCTCTTCTAGGTAAAAAGGCATCGAAAATCAATGGGAAAAGATTAATATGGTTCTAGGAGAGGCGGGCAAAAAATGTTCAGTCGAAAATCACCGTGCCATTGGAGGCCATTTACCCTGGGATTTTGCAGCACAAACATTTTCTACTTAGACGCGTTTCAAGGTGTCAATCAATGTTTTATGGAGCTGCTAGCCTATTGTCTGCTAAAATAAATCTCTGAAAATCATCAAATCAGGTCAGTTTTAAACTGAACACAAGATAGGACGCAAGAGCTGCAGAAGTACGTATTTCATCCAAGCCAAGAACAGTGTGAAAGGTGAACATGAAATATTCAGAAAGGGGATTGGACGTAAGTGAAGTAACAGACACTTGCACAAGAGGGATCAAACATCGTGCGGCACAGCTCTGTCTCCGTGGAAAGAAGTCAAGATGAATAAAAGAATGCGTGTTTCAGTAGGCCCCTCTAAAGGGGAATTGCTTTTGCAGAATGTAGTAAGAGCATAGACTATTGAAATTTTTCCTTTTTCGAGATAATTGTTAACGTGCAATTTCTAAGTTTCTTTGGTTACATAATATTAGTCACGACGGCAAGGGTAGTTTAAGTAGTGCACTTCATATAGCCCTAGTCCCAGTATTTTTTCCTACGGAAACGGTGGTTATAGGGGTTTTGGGGGTGGAGAAATAGGATAAGCAGGGGAGGAAATTTGTAGAAGTAAGTGTAAAGTGAAAAGAAAATGTAGTTGAATTTTTTTCCCGCGGCCGCTGTAAGTATTTCGTTCCACATGTAAATTGACAGTGTATGCGGCGCTTTGCACCGTGGACTCTACTAATCTAACTCCAGAACGGTAAGTTGGACCTCAGGTGAGTTGAAGTAGACGACTTTCTAACCATTATTTTTATTCTTCAGGAATTTCGAGACAGCTGCAGTTTGATAATCGGGTTTTTCCGCAATACGTTAAACGATAATACAGATTAGGAAAATCGACAGATACAAATCAACAACATTTCGAAATACAACAAAATTAAAATGCATATAGCAGTTAGTAAAGTATATTCCACTGTCTATCCTAATTCCCCACCCATAAAACCCCTATCACCACTGTTTCTATAAGGCAAATGTTGGGACTAGGGAGATATGAGGTACACTACTTAAACTACTGTTGCCAGAAGGGACTATCTCACAAACAGCCTAAGCTCAGTCTCAGATATTGAGATAAGCTTGGTTCGTGTGGGTTATTCGCGCATTTGAATCCACTCATAGGAAAAAAATCCAGACAGCTACAAACAGATTCACTTACCAATGTATGTCTGGATGGCTCGAAGGCGTTTGATTTCGAAGAGATCT